CTGAGTGTAATTTATACAAAACTAGCATTTGGCAACTTTTAGCTTTTTAATTATCAGATGGGAATATTTATGTAAGCCTGATACTTTAGTCCTCTAAGGCTTGTTTTTTTTCCTCCACCATTTTGAGTTTGATGATCATAACTTGAATGATTTGACTGATGCTGTATTTGTTTAAGAAACAAATGTAGATGTTGTCCACACAGATGAGGACAAGACACCACGGGTAACCTGAAAGGCACTGATGATGATATTTTATTAAAGAAGAAAGACAAACATAGACTCCTAGATAGGTAAAAGCCAGACATTGGAACAGAGCTGGGGTGTACTAACACATGTGGGAGAACATGGCTTCGTTGCTGGTTGAAGTGCATGGGCACCATACTGAGCTTCTCCCTGTCTTCTCAATAGCTTCTTTAGATAGCATAGATACATGGTTCAGACCTTTATATGTTAATGTGGAACTTCTTGACCAGGATTGTAAAACTGAAAACTAGTGCATTAAAATACTAATATGTTTCTGTATCAGAGTATTGCCTCAGTGGTATTGTCTGGGAACTCGTTAGAATATAGAATCTCAGGATCATCACTACTACCATCCCCTACCTGCATGTTGGGATAGGCATAAGCCACCACACCCCACTCAGAATCGTGTGTGTGTGGGAGGGGGGCAGGGAGCTATATGTATATTTGGGTATATATATATATATATTTGGCAAGATCTGTAGTGATTTGCATGCATTTTGACATTAAAAAATGTATCTGGTTTAGAAATGGTTTGTGGAGGAGAGACTGACCTTTTGAAGCCATGCAGATGTTGACGCTGGAGTACTACAGTGATTGTATCCAGAAGCTGTGGACTCAAACATCAGTAATGGGGAAGGAAGAATTAAAACTATAGAGAGAGGAAGTGTTCAGTGTGATAGAGGAGTTGCTAGAGGAAGAGAAACTGATATTTGAGTTTGTCTTGAGTCAGACACGCTTGGTATTCTGTCGTGTTAGGTCCTCGGAAGAACCTCAGTGAGCTTTAGTCACTTGCTCAGCTTCATAGGCAGATTGCCTTTCAATAGTTTCAGAGCTGAGGCTGTGGTGCTGATGTTAGAGGAGGTGGAAAAACCACCAGAAAGCTTTTGTGTGGGAGAAAAGGAAGTATTCCAGCTGCCAGGTGTGAAGAGAGGGCGGCCTCCTGTCACACCAGTAAACGAGAGGAAAGGTGGAAGAGTAAGGACGAGTTTGGGGTCAAACCCTCCACTGACAGTGGAGAGTCTGACATAGAGGCTGTGGATGTGGAGTCCAGACCAATGCTGTGTTACACACATGGGAGGTAAGTGACAGGAGGTAGGGAATTATAAGAGGAAAAACAATTTATTGTAGTGATCTCCAGAATGTCTCCAAACAGGATGAATGAAAAGCCTTGGATCTTCATTTTTACCTACTTAATGATCTGTTGGATTTCTTGTTTTTTCTTGAATTTGAAGTCTTTTGGGACAGAGGGCTCTGCAGAGGGATGGAGAGTATTGTGTGACCACAGGACTTGGCTGGGAAATATTTGCTGACCAAATGACTCAATTTATAGATGGTTATGGGAGCAGGTAATACTTTCTGAGCTGCACAATAATCAAGATGAGGGAAGTAAGAACAAATGTAGCCCTTCTCTCTGGTAGTTAGAAGCCAGTGTCCAGAGTTTCAAGGTAGATCTAGGTTGTGCAAAGCTTTCCGCACACAAGAAAAATGCCGTGCTTTAGATGGTTATGTAGCCTCTATTGTTGGTGTTTCAGGGATCCTTACAGAGAGGAACCTGGGATTGTTCTGAGGAATTTCTAAGCTAAACACACTACTCCTTTTTTTTTTTGGTTTGGTTTTTCTTTTTTTTTTTTTTTATTTTACTTATGAGTACACTGTAGCTGTCTTCAGACACACCAGAAGAGGGCATTGAATCTCATTACAGATGGTTGTGAGCCATCATGTGGTTGCTGGGATTTGAACTCAGGACCTCTGAAAGAGCAGTCAGTGCTCTTAACCACTGAGCCATCTCTCCAGCCCTGGTTTGGTTTTTCGAGACAGGGTTTCTCTGTGTAGCCCTGGCTGTTCTGGAACTCACTCTGTAGACCAGGCTAGCCTCAAACTCTCGAACTCAGAGAAATCCGCCTGCTTCTGCCTCCCAAGTGCTGGGATTAAAGGCATGCGCCACCACCGCCTGGCTAAACACACTACTCTTAATGAGTCATGTTAATAAGCCAACATAGATGCAGAGAAACAATTATTATTAAAATATTGACACACTCCCTCATCCCTCGTTTTAGTAGTCACTAGAAGGCTTTAGTACTGAGCATCTACACAGCTTTTCAGATTGGTGGTAAGGAATGAGAGGGGAGCTGAACACCATGAAGCCAGCACAGCACTAGGTGGCCTTCTTTCTTCCCTCTTCTGATTTAATCAGTTGCCTGTAAACGTATAGAGAAAATACATCATATCCACTACTATAAAGTTTCCTTTGAGTCTAAAAAGCAAAATTGTTTTAGAGTTAGGGGGAAAAATCAATGAGCAATTTAAAACCATAGTCTTATAAATTAAAGAGCATTAAATAAGTTCTTAATTTTCTTAGTGGTTCTTCAACACTCCAAAGGGAGGCTTTGATCTCAAACTACCTGCTTCCTTAATTCAACCTTGGAGAAACTAGAACCCAATAGCCTCTCAGTTGACTAGCTAGATGGCAGTGTCTTTGTTTCAGCAGTGCCCTCTTGTGGTTGATTCCCTGCTAGTGAGGCCCTGGGATATCTTGGTTCACTCTTGAAATCAGCTTTAAAGTATTTCCACAGCATATAGGGCTGACTGTGAGGGGCTTGGTCAGGGTTTGGTGCTGATGGACTCATCAGTCTCCTGAATCTGTTCTCCCATTTGGCATAGTAGCAGATACTGAGTCAGTCTTGGTGGGAGTGTGACAGGGTAGCCTCTGGAGAGGACAGTGCCTGTTTCTGCGCCTCTGTATGGCTGTGGGTGGATGGCTTGGTTGGTGCTGAGGCTGCTCTAGTTCTAGTGTTACCTCCAGACCTATCTTTTCTAGATCTGTCCTAGCATTGTGCCTACTGGGACTCTTGAGTCTGTCAGAAGGCCACCTAGGTGATCTCTCTACTTGCTAGCAAAGTAATAACACAGGAAGCATGGATTTTTAACTCTTGGAAGAATTTTAATTGTGGAAACATTTGAGTTTGGTTTAACTGTTTAACATGATTTATTTTCCCTTAGTCTGGGCTATAAGAAATACCCCTCCTTTATTATCTGAAATTTCTGTGGAAGATTTTTTGATTCTGCTCCAACCTGAGAGAATTGGAGAAGTAGGATTTTTACTTATAGTTCATACAGAATGGGGGAAACCCAAGCTTGTCGTCTGGATCCTTGAGTTCTCTGGAGTTTGGGAATGCATCCTCATAGCTAGCACCAGGGTTTGTGATTGTAGAGGATGGCTCTAAAGCCCTGTGATGAGGGTACAGTCCCAGCTCTGCCACTCATTGCAGAGCCTGAGTCCTGACCTTCCCTCTCAGCTTCCTCATCTGAGGGTTCATGAGGCCCCTCTCCTTTGAATTAATACATGAACCTGTGACAGTGCCCAGTAAATGTGAGCCATCATGGCTGAATATTGAATAAGTCATTGGACTTTGACAATGAGATTAGAAAATGACAGTGTCTGAAGTTGAAATGGGTAAAAATTAACTGAAAATGAATGGCCGTAGCCTTTTTTTTTTTTTTAGAAATTCAGTTGAAATTACAGTTAGTAAAGTTTCAAATAGAATCTAAAGGAAGTACAAACCAAATAAAAGGGAGGAAACCCAAGTCTATTTGGCTATCTTTTTGTTACACCATGGATGTCAGCTGAATTGTCAGCAGATTCTGCTGTGGTCAGGTGTGCAGTATTCATTTGGAAAGTTTTGTAATGCACTGATTCCTAGGTTCATATAGAGAATCATATTTCACTGGACTGAGTTGCTGGCCTGGTCACTTGAGAGCTCTCTAGGTGCTCTTATGCCAGTCAGTATAGGATAGGATTTGCTGCCTTGGATACTTTGAGAGAAATAGCTTTCTAGGTCTCCTGACCTTGGCTCAGAGGGCATCATCACTGTAGGAGTTCCCACCTTGTACTGTGGTCATCCCATCCATTCAGTTTTTCCCCAGCTCTGACTATGAACCTGATGGCATCTTTCTGTGGTATCTCTTGATGCTGATGCTCCTACTTTCTGTAGTGGAGAGACACTTGTGTTGGCCTTGTTATGCTGGGCTCGGAGGACTTGAGACATCAACTGAGCTTTGGCTCATCCCAGCTTGGTATAGTAGGGCCACTTGCCATTTTAATCTGTCTTATTTACATTAATTGTCCTCCTGGAAATTTATGCTTCATCGTTTAAGCCCTCTTCCCAAATTGTGGTTATGTGGTACACTGGACAGCATCTTAGCTTGTGGTTGTGAACATCTCCACCCATCTTGTTTCCAAGTATCTGTCTGCAAGTATCTGGATAATTATCCAAACAGGTAGATAAATACATTGGAAGCCTATTGTGAGGGAGCCCTACCATTCTAGTCTCAGCACCCCACCCTCAGCATTTTGCTATCTCAGGTCTTCTGAGATTCATCTTGAGGAGTATTGGCCCTGAGAAATGAAGGCTTTTACTTGGCAAGATTCAGGCAATAATTTCTGGCTACTGTGACCTTTAGGTTTTGAATATTAATTTTTGGAGGCTTTGATAGATGAATAGCTTCACACATTATGCAGTTCTGAATTTTAACATCATCTGTTAAGATCTTTGCTCCCAAACACAATTGCCACTTGGCCTTGTTTACATTTATATTTCAGAAATTGTTTGCTAACTCAAGCAGGAAAGAGAATGGTGTTGCTTTTTGCTTGCTTGGAAAGTTTACTTTTGATTAAAAACTGGTGTGCATACATAGTCTGTTGTTATAACTCGGCGGTGATTTATTTCTACGCTGTAATCCCTAGAGATGAAAGAAATGTTCAAGAACATGGTCAATGCAGCAGAGGCTTTTATTAAAATCCATGGTACTTGTATCCTTTGTGTTTATCTTTTTTTCCCTCCCTTTTAGGTTTTCCAAACTCTGGGCACAGATGTTGTAAGGTCCGCCTTTGAAGGCTATAATGCCTGTGTCTTTGCATACGGGCAAACTGGATCCGGAAAGTCGTACACTATGATGGGGAGTTCTGTAAGTTACTCAGTTGTTTATGTGTTGGGAGGGAAAGAAGTTTCTTACTGTCCTTTCCTGGAGTGATAGAATTATCTTTTATCTACTTGATCTGCACCAACTTTTCCTGTTCAAGATAAACTCAGTAATAAGTTGAACTAAATTTCCTTGGAGAGATTTGAAATTAGAAATAGTTTTATGTTATAAGCACAAATAATGGGTGCAAATCCCAGTTTCTGCTTTTAAAGGCCTTATAATCTTATCACAAAAGTAATTTATTCTTCTTTTCTGCCAGTATAACACTTTGAATAAAATTACCAAAGTCTATTATTTTTAAAATTATTCAGAACATTTTTCCTAAGAATAGTGTTAAAAAGAAAACCTAACCTTTTGATGGAAAGGTGCTAGATAAGTCCAGCAGACGTGAAAAAGTTGGCCTTCTAGAGTGAGCCCTTATAGTTTATGTGCTTATAAACACCACATCCACAGCTTAGTGATTTGTCAGTACAGATTAACAGGCGCTTATGGTGTGTTTGCACCAGAGTATAGGAAAGTAAGATGTAGGCGTAGGACATGGTGGTATGTGTGAAATCCCCACTTCTTGGGAGGCTGATGCAGGATGGTCACAAGCTTCATACCAGCCTGATGATCAACTCAGGGAAAGAGCACACATGGAGGGACCCATGGCTCCGGCCGCATATGTGGCAGAGGATGGCCTTGTTGGACATCAATGGGAGGAGCAGCCCTTGGTCCTGTGGGGTCTGATGCCCCAGTGTAGGGGAATCCCATGGTGGGAAGGTGGGAGTGGATGGGTGGGGGAGCACCCTCAAAGAAGCAAGGGGAGGCGGGGTGGGAAAGGGGGTTTCCTGAGACCTGAAGGGGGATAACATTTGAAATGTAAATAAAGAAAATATCCAATAATAAAAAAGGACTGGGAATGCAGCTAGTTTGGTGGTAGAACACTTGCACAGCATATTCAAGGCCCTGATTTGCTCCCTAGAAAACAGAGAAAAGAAGCAAACCCCACAACAAACAAAACCACATAGGGCTATTTAAGACAGTGGTGTGTGTGTGACAATTTTTTTTTTTTTCTTCCAAACCTGTGGCTTGTTCTTGATGTAGAGACTGTGAGAGGAGACTTTAGGGCTTCCTGCCAGCAGGCACAGTAGTGTCTGTAGTGCTCAAGGTTTGGTGGCCCATGGAAGCACGGTATTGCAGAGGAACAAATCTCAGGACATCATATCAGAGCCTGGAACCTGGCTTCTCAAACCCAGATGTTTTGCTTACATGGGAAGTGTGGCACTGAAGTTCATGGCACTGAAATTCCAGTCACAGTGCTGGAAGCTAGGAAGAGCCAGGAGAGAGGGAGAGAGGTAGCACACCGGGCACATCCCTTTTAACTTCAGCTATTATTTCTTCTCTTTTTGTTTCCTACTGAACTTTTGAAAAAAAAAATCCTCTAAAAATGAAATTCGCATATCAATTCTCTATGTAAAACATTTACAAAGCACTTCTAAACAGCAGGTGCTTTTTCTCTGCCCTACTAGGTAAGTACAGCTTCAGTATTTTACTTATTTAAATAAGAACAAAAGCTGTGGTAGAAAGCTCAATTTTCCTTGGTAACAGTTGGTACCAATTGAATGGAAGATGCAAAGGAGAAAAAGAAAAAAAATCCCTTAAAAAATGCCAATGATAATTCTTATAGTCTTTGAGAGAGGATTTAAGTTTCCATTGAGAACATTTTGCCTAATGCAGAGTGCCTTAATTTGGGTTACCATTACGATGATGAAACACCATGACCAAAAGAAAGTTGGAGAAGAAAGGGTTTATTTTTAGTTGATTTACACTTCCACATCGATAGTCCATCACTGAAGGAAGTCAGGTCAGGAACTCAAACAATGAGAACCTGAAAGCAGGAGCTGATGCATAGGGCATGGAGAGTCAGCTTACTGGATTGTTTCCCCTGGTTTGCTCACTCTGCTTTCTTATAGAATCTAGGACTACCAGCCCAGGGATGGCACCACCCACAATGGGCTGGGCCCATTCCCATCAATCACTAGTTAAGAAAATGCTCTTGTCTGCTTAGAGCCCTATTTTTTTTTTTTTTTGTTTTTTTTTTTTTGTTTTTGTTTTTTTGAGACAGGGTTTCTCTGTGTAGCCCTGGCTGTCCTGGAACTCACTCCGTAGACCAGGCTGCCCTCGAACTCAAAAATCCGCCTGCCTCTGCCTCCCAAGTGCTGGGATTAAAGGCATGTGCCACCACTGCCCAGCTTAGAGACCTATTTTATGGAGACATTTTCTCAATTGAGATTCCCTCCTCTCAGAAGACTTTAGCTTGTATCAATTTGATGAAAAACTACTCAGGCCACAGAGTGTTGCTCACAAGCTTGTTTATGCTGACAGAACTATGATTATGTAGCTGCACCACTTAATAAGGTAGATTTTTCTCTTCCTAAGAGGACTTATGCAGAGATTGCTATAGCAGAGGAAGGCTGGCTTCCATAGTTTAATGTACTTCTGCCACCTACATTTTTAAGATGGCTATCTAGAGGACTTAATAAGGTTATTATTTTTTCTAGTGTTTCTTTTCTGCCTAGTATTTGTTATCCCTGCTTTGTCATTTATCCAGATATTTTTAACATTTATTTTACATTATAAGCTATCTCCTTTGGTAGAGAATAAGCTTCCTCATCCTTGCAAGTCATTGCTAATTGATTTAACATCTTATTAAAATATATTATACAAGTCCTAGCATTTAGAAATTAGAAGACGATATCCTTTTATTTCAGAGGATAAGAAATCCTATAGGGGCCCTTTGTGGAAGGTTTGGGCTTGACACACAGGCACCTGGAGCCTAAGTCCATGCCAGCAAAATGCAAATTCATGATCTACCTGAATCTAGTTTGAGTGACAGCATTCTTCTTCTCCACTTCAGGGTGATTCTGGCTTAATACCTCGGATCTGTGAAGCTCTCTTCAGCCGGATCAATGAAACCACTAGATGGGATGAAGCTTCTTTCAGGACAGAAGTCAGGTAGGGCCATGATCTGAGGTGTAAAGTTCTGAGGGGGCCCAGACTGCTTGACTTGCACAGAGGTCTGGGAGAGAGGAGGGTGAGGGTGGAGATTGCTGAGGAATGAGACCACCCCTTCCTGACCTGAACTCAATGTTAGTTAGGAATAAAGGTGTGATTGTGTGGCTACAATTTGTATGTGAGGTAGCATAGCTGGGTGGGAAGCTGAAGTATTCTATTTTTGTCTCAAATGGAGTGAGCCCTTGACTATTGGCGAGCTTATGCAATTAGGTTCACTCTTTTGGCTGAGTAACATCTGTGGTAGGATCCTGTAAGTGTATCTTTAACATCAGTCTGGGTGCACAGAGCACCTTTAACTTTTTGTTGCTGAGTCTGTATCAGTAGTTGGTCTTCAGGGGCCTTGAGCAGAGCTGTGTTGACCTGTACTGCTGAGAAGCACTTGTCTTCTTAGTGACTGTGACTCTGGGCAAGTTGTTTAAAGCACACCAGACCTCTCTTGTTATATTTTTACAGATGATCAAGTATGCACCATTGAGCCATTGCAAAGATTGAGTGAAATACTTCTCGTAAAGTGTACAGCAGAGGTGTATATGTTGCTGTTGCTGAGTGTTGTGCTTGTTATTATTAAACATTTTGAAAACATTTTTTTTATAAAATTAATTCTATTTAAAATTTTTAGCTACTTAGAAATTTATAATGAACGTGTGAGAGACCTACTTAGGCGGAAGTCATCTAAGACCTTCAATTTAAGAGTCCGTGAGCATCCCAAAGAAGGACCATACGTTGAGGGTAAGAAAGAAGTTTCTTGTCTTTACATAGTTACTCCCCTGATCTCCCTTGGGATTGGTATAAAAATAAAAAAATACAAAACTCTGGTGATGATAAGAATTTAAAAACTTGTTTACTTTGGAACTTTATTACAGTAAAAGTGACAGGAGCTAGTACTTCCTAATGTTCATTTTGTAAATCTGTATTTCACTAGGTATTTACTAGGTATTTACCCATCATTTCCTTGGCTTTAAGAGCTCTCTGGAAGTTTGTTTTCCCAGCTTCTCTAACAAGATGATCAAGTCCTGACTCCCAAGCCTGTGTGTCTCAGTGACAATGCATTTTACTAGCATGTTCATGGATCCTAATGGGTGCTGGGTAGAAGGAGACTGTCTCTCGCCTCTTGTTTGTAAGAAGAGTTCCCAGGGGTGTCTCCCTTGGTTCTCGAATCTGTGTTGTGATAGGATAACTATGGTGGACTGAGCACCCACCTCTACATTGTCAGGGAGGGTCTGGCAGACTGAATGAATTCACCCTATAGACTAAAATAGGAGAAATAGTTTATTGAGTATAGAACAAAGGCACAGCAGGCTAAGCAATAGCTAGAGCACCATGTTAATGTGCTGAGAAGGTCTTCATTTATAGTTAGGGTGGGTTTCTTTGTGTGTAGTTTCCTGGCATGTAATGCATGCCGCATGTGAAGAGTACAATCCAGACTGGCTTAAGTACAGTTCTGAAAGGTCAGCTTAAGCCTCTGTCCATATAACTTCAGTTGTGTATCCTATATTGTGCAGTTAATAGCTATGCAAACCAGGGTCATTCAGTTCAAGACAGTCTTGGTCAAAGGATCTTAGTACCGTTTCTAGGCTGCAGCTTTGTGGTGTTAAGTTGTAACCTTCTGGTATGAGCACTTTGCAGTTCCTGGGTCATGATTGTGAAAATTTGTTAACTTATGGTCTCTCATTAGTGGCCCTCCCCTACCTCCCCATACTAACCGAGGGACAGTTAGTCATGGAAGGTGTTACATGAAGGTGTTATTGTGAATTAGCTCTTGCCATGTATTTAGAAATAGGCTGTGATAAGTTAGTCTTGTTGTCGACTCCATGGGATTTCGAGTTACTGTGGAAGCAAATCTCTGGGCACATCTGTGAGGAATTATCTAGATGACTTTAGTTGAGGGTGTGACGACTTCACCCTAAATATGGGTAGCAACATGCCATGGCCTGCAGACACAGACTGAATAAAGCTGAAGATAAGCATTTATGGCTTTCGGTTTCCTGATTATAGACTCAATGCATCTTGTGACCAAGTGCTTCCGATTTCTGCCACCATACCTTCCTCACGGTGGTTGACTGTATCTCCTTTAATCATGAGCCAAAATAAACCCTTTCCTCCATTAAGTTGCTTTATCAGGTATTTTTTTTTTTTTTATCACAGTGAGGGAAGTACTTAATACATCAGGTTGTTATGTGGCTATTTTGCTCTCTCTAAGGGAACTGTGTAACTCCTGTGATGTAGCCTGTAGGCATTGCTAAAGGAAAAAACATGGTTTCTTATGTTGTTGTCTATGAAGTGTGTTTCCTTGCTATTAAGAATGGACCAGAACATGCCGGGCAGTGGTGGTGCACACCTTTAATCCCAGCACTTGGGAGGCAGAGGCAGGCGGATTTCTGAGTTTGAGGCCAGCCTGGTCTACAGAGTGAGTTCCAGGACAGCCAGGGCTATACAGGGAAACCCTGTCTCGAAAAACCAAAACCAACCAACCAACCAAACAAACAAAAAAAACAGCAACAAGAATGGGCCAGAACATGGGTTTGAAGATTTACTTCTGGTTTCCTTTTGATCATGAAGTCATCAGTGTGCCATAGGACCCATCTATATTTTCTTAAGTACCCATTTTTTGTCTGTGCTCTGTCTCCCCAGAGAAAGGTGTACAGTTGTATTTGTGTATATCTGTGTGCTGGGGGAATCGTTATGGAATACCTATTGCTTTCAGTCTAAAATGAGCCTTTATATTTTTTCCTTTAATTGTTATGACAGATGTCAAAACATATAAAACTGATATATGAAGAGACAGAATAATTAAACAGGGTAAAAACATCTGGATATTGACCTCTCTGGTTGTGATCCTTATTAATAATACCTTATTCAAACATTGGAGAGTATGGGCTATATATTAGATGAGAAAAATAAGGTGTCATCATTCAATTTTTAGACCAAAGTATTTGAAAACGAGGTCAAGGATTTAATGGGAAGAATGACATGATCACAAGAACCATGGGTTATTTTTTTCCAGAATCTTAGAAGAAGGAGGGCTTTAAAAAAAATGACTTAAAAACCTAGAAGTCATAGAAGAAAAAATGTTTTCCCCCATTGTGATAGGAATCAGACCCAGGGCTTCCTTTGAGAGTGCCAGGCAAGTGATCTATAGCACTGGGGTATATCATCCCATTTTTAAGTGGGAGAAAAAGTGCCCAGCTTCTTTCATCATAGTAAAACAGCAGAAGGAGCCTGTGTGATGCTTGTCACCCCATGGGTAGATAATGAGGGTGCTGAGGAGGGGAATGCTGACAAGCATGCCTCCCATCCCCATTCCTGCTGCTATAAACTGCCCTCTGTGGGGGAGAGCTCTGCAGCCTCTGACAGCATTCCCAATAGCCTTTGATTTAGCAGTTCGACTTCCAAGAATTTATTTTGTAGTCACATTCCCATACATTTGAAAAGACTGATGCACAAAATATTTTAACAGCCCATTGTATTTGGAAATAAAGTAAAATAACCTCTGTAGTCTCAAGCAAAGGCTGGTTAAATTGGTTGTGGTTCTGATGTACAAGACTTTCTCTGTAGCCTTAAAAATAAATACCAGGTTACCCTAACATTACAGAGGATCCTTATATGTATGTAAGTAGAAAGCAAAATGCAGAATAACATTTACGATCTGCTACTCTAAAATTCATTTTATTTTTGTGGGTGTGATTGATCAAAGGGCCTTGTGTGTGTGTATGTGTGTGTGTGTGTGTGTGTGTGTGTCTAGTCTAGTATATTCCCAGGTGCATGGAAGTGGGGGAAGGCAGTTTGATAACATGTGTAACTGCCTTCGTATATATGAGTTGTTTCTTGAAGGGTATAGGGGGACCAGTAACATTGATTACTTGACAGAAGGGGAACAACAGAGTTTGCTGTAGGGAAAAAGCAGAGGACCCCTGTGCACTTTGACTTTTAGCCCTATGAGCTACTCTCCCTTCAAGAACAAAGAGCCAGTAAAATTTTTTTTTAGAGTTTAAAATTTTTTAGGTTTTTCATGAGGGCTGGGCTTACACGAGGTTATTCCTGAAGGTGGAACTTTTATATTGTTCTTCCTTGTACCTTAACTGCTTCGAAGAGATTGCTGTTGATAGCTGCAACAGTCACTCTGTGTAGTGGTATGCAGTGGGCACTCAGATTAGGTTGTTGAAGCCCATTGTGGCCAACCAGCTTGCTCATCTCCCTGTCTGTATTACAGACTACCACTCTCCAAGATCTGCAGCCAAATTGGGAGATGTGTAGTCATGCATGATTCTTAAAGGGAAGCTTCTCATTTATTTCACTATAACAGAATAATTTCTTTGCCCCTTTCTTTTTTTTTTCCAGATTTATCGAAGCATTTAGTCCAGAATTACAGTGATGTGGAAGAACTTATGGACGCAGGAAATATCAACCGTACCACCGCAGCGACGGGGATGAATGACGTCAGTAGCAGATCTCACGCCATCTTCACCATCAAGTTCACTCAGGTAAGGGCAGCCATGGAGCAGAGTCTCCATCCTCAGGCCTTTGATTGATGATTAGCATCAGCTGAGCACTGATCATAGTTGAACCAGGAGCAGCAGCAAGCAAAGGTGACTGACTGTCACTTCCTTGTTATTTAGAGTTGAACATGTGCTGTGTGCTCGGCTTTTCTGTATTCACAGTGATTTAAATGTCCTGATGTATATCCTTAAGATATATTAGCAGGCTTCTACCTTGTTCTAGGCGTGAGAAAAACTTGCTCTGTGCCTAATTAAGCAAAAGTTTTCATTGTTATAAGTGCTATGGGAGATAATGGGTTTCGAGGCACAGCAGCTGGAGGCTAAGGTGGGGAACGGGTGTACTACATTATCGCTCCGCAGGCCCTGGTGGTGTTGCTTATGATTAGAGTCATATTAGAGGACAATGAACACTTAGAGGCACTAACGTAAGAATTCCTTGTGGTCAGGTGGTGGACAGTGTCTTGAAGGTGGCTGGGAGTGGCTGAGGAGAAGTAGTTGGTTATCAAAGCCAGACCACGGAAATACACAATTGCCAAGTCTTGGCTTCAGCAAGGGTTAGGAGTTAGCATTGCCCATCCACATTGATAGTGAACACATGAGAAAACAGCCAGGCAGGCCTTTACTAATTTGAAGATTAGAGACCAGGGAAATGAGTTGAGTCTCCAAGCAGTCAGAAGTGCTCTGTGGGCAATCTCTGTGTCCTGCTAGGTCATCAGTTAGAACCTTGCTTTACTGGCTTGTTTCAGCTTTCTGATGGATGCTTAACTAGGATGTAGCAGACTGTAGTTTCTAAGAGGTTTGTTTATATGTCCATCAAAATATAAGTTTATTATTTTGTTGCATTTGGTTCAAAATATGAAACATAGGTTAAAGCTCTTTGGAAATATAAAGTTCTGAAAGGATTCAGGACTTGTGGTAATTTACGCTTTAGTATTTCACATCTTTAAAGATGTGGTGTGTTTTATTACATAGTGTCACATGATGTCCTTCCTAACATAGTTATCGAGTGTGAAGAGCCTTTGTGCCTTGAATGCTGGAGCTTCCAGAAGAGTAAAGCTAATCACTTGTTTATTTATTCTTTCTCAGTTCCCCTTAGGGGATAGTGTCATATTGTTTTGGTCTCCAGTCTTTAGGGGTGTTGTCAAGAGTGACAGTGGTTAGCTAAACAGACTGATTGTTTAGAAAGTGTGAGAGTCACATGTGATAGAGTTCTATTGCATTTGGTTTAGTTTGGGAAGTTGTCATAATCACTATGATAGCCAATACAATAAAATGAACAAAGGAAGTCTACCTCAGAGACCTCTGCTGGGAGTGGAAAGTGATGGGGATTTGGGCAAGCAGAGCAGGGGCACTCTGTCCTCTTTTGTGCTATATGCATGTCTTTCCATAGGCAAAATTCGACGCTGAAATGCCATGTGAAACTGTGAGCAAGATCCATCTCGTCGATCTTGCTGGAAGTGAGCGGGCAGATGCCACTGGTGCCACTGGGGTCAGACTCAAGGAAGGGGGCAATATAAACAAGTCTCTTGTGACTCTGGGAAATGTCATTTCTGCCTTAGGTAGGTTTGCTGCCACTTTGCCCTCTATTTTCTTGGTACTGTTTTGGCGCAGAACACGTTTGCTGGATGTTTGTCTTACAAACTTAGACAGCATGTTCAGGTCTTTTAGAGCTGAGTTCGAGAAGGCAGAGAATTCTGAATTATCTCCTGTTTTCTTCTTCCCTGCAGCTGATTTATCTCAGGATGCAGCCAACCCTCTTGTGAAGAAGAAGCAAGTTTTTGTGCCTTACAGGGATTCAGTTTTGACTTGGCTGTTGAAAGACAGCCTTGGAGGAAACTCTAAAACCATCATGATTGCCAGTAAGAATTTAAATTATATTTTTGAGCATCAGTGTTTCCTGTGAATTAAATGTAAATATTTAAGTTGAAAGCGTCTCAATGGGATGCAGCATCTTTTATATCTTAAAGAAATGAATGTTCCATCCAGTCTTGAAACTCATCCATTGTGACATACTTGTAGTTTGGAATATGCAGTTCTGTGTAGACTTTGCATCATGGAGTCTATAGTGAAAGTCAGACATGCTCAGCTTCTCTTTGCTTAAAGTACAAGATACTGGGACTTCAGGACTCATTACCTCTCAGCTTTCCTTCCCTGTCTTCTCTCTCCGTTTCCCTTCTCTCTTCTTGCCTCTCTTCACAGCCCTTGCCCCACATTGACTGTTGGCATCAAGGGAACACAACCATGTATCCGTCCTGGTTTTAGAGGTTAGGTGCAAGTGGCAATGGGCTGCAGTGTAAAATTACCCAAAGACTGTAGAAAGAAGGAATTCAGTAATCTGTTGACTTTTAAAAAATTGTTGGGCTCTGGGCTTTTGCAGATGATTGATTGTTGTCAGAAATGTAAAAGTGTTTTAATTCCTGCACACGAGAGAAGCACGGTTCTGAAATTTCATCTTGGCAGTTGAGAAAACCCCTTCCCTGTGTGGGCTATCTCACTCCCTATCTTGAAAGTTATTCAAATGGCTGATCATAGATGTGAGAAGAGCAAAATGACATTTAATTTGGTGTAGTGAACACCCTTTCCTATAAGCTTAGATAACTTTTTTTAATATTCATTACTATGGCAATGAATATTTAGTCTTTCTTGTGACCTGGGGTTGATCTGACTTTTAAATTACAAACCAACTTTGTGTTAAATGAAACATGGAGTGCTAGATGAATTATTTTTCATATTTATTTTTCACAGCCATTTCACCTGCTGATGTCAATTATGGAGAAACCCTAAGTACCCTTCGCTATGCAAATAGAGCCAAAAACATCATCAACAAGCCTACCATTAATGAGGATGCCAACGTCAGACTCATCCGTGAGCTGCGAGCTGAAATAGCCAGGCTGAAAACCCTGCTCGCTCAAGGGAATCAGGTTGAGTTTTTCTGAGATTTATAGATAATTTTCCTTGAGTAATGGCATCTATTTCTAGATCTTAATGAGACAATTATCCTGTGGTATTGATTTGAGTAAATAAGTACTAAGTAAAGCTTCAGATGAGTTAGCCAGTCTCTATATTAGCTTCCTATCAGCCTTTGCATTCCTTATGCACACTGGGTGTAAGATTTCATCCACTAAGCCTTAAATGATTAAATATCTAATAGTTATCAATTATGGATGGAAATTTAGCATGTGATAGGATTAGCAGCATAATCTCCATTAGTAAAAAGAAATTCAGATGCTTAAAATAATATTTAAAATTCTACCCATGCATTTTATGATTATAAATGTATTTTAGCAAGGGGGGGGGGGCTTGTGTTTGAACACCTTTCTGAATCTTGGTCTCCCTTTAGCCCTGTCATAGGTGGCTATAGTGACTCTGCAGTGCCTCCGATATAATGTCTATGGCCTGGCCAGGATGCTGTTCTACAGAGCCTTGCATGATTGCTGAAATAGCCTCATTTCAGGATATTTTGAATTCTAGCAAAGAAGCTGTGTCCTTTTGTTTCTCACAGTCTGAGCATGTTCATGCAGGGCTATGCTCTGTAAGAATTGGTGTGAGCTAGGTTTCAGATGGCCTAGGAACTACTGTGAAGAAAGGCCATCCTTGAAGGAAAATCAGATAGTCTTTTTAACTCTTGCTGTTAGAAATAAAATGAAGATATATTTATATCATCCGATGTTCTTATGTGTGGACATCCTAAGTCTATTGTTAAATTATTCCTTTTCTGTAAATGAGAAGTGCTTTCCCCATAAGACTGTACAGTACTTCTCACTCTTGATAGCCCATAAATGGTTTGAACTATGGAAATATTGTCAAGATGAAACCTCAGTTTCCTGTGCCCTGATACAGAAGTCAGCATGGTAGTCCTTTCCCATAAGATGACAGACAACCATCAAGCAGGACTCCTTCACTGCATCTGAAAGTGTCTGCACACTTCCATTTGTGATGTCAGGCTTGGTGTGAAAGGCAGTTGTCAGTGGAATATGATATCAGGAACCACAATAATTGTTTCTATTTATACACTGCTGTTGGAATCCCTTCTCTGTGTTTTGGAAACATTATTTGTCTAAAGGATGCCTTTTAAAATGATTAATATGTGAAGGAAAGTATTTGAGAAATACTCCATGCGGCTGCTTTTACTTAATCTTAGAAGAGAATGTGTTGAGGGAGAGTGGATGTGCACGTGCCATATGGAGCTGGGTGACAGCTGTGAAAATCTGTTTCTATCCTTCCATCATGCGAGCTTCTAGGGTGGAGTTTCTGTCGGCAGGTTTTGTGGCAAGTGCCTTTACCCACCCTTTTAGTTAAGATTATTATTGCTCTGCTGAAACACCATAACCAAAGGCAAGTTGTGAAGCAAGGGTTTATTTAGCTTACATTTCCACATCACTGTTCAACATGGAAGAAAGCCATGGCAGGAACTCAAACAAGGCAGGAACTTAGAGGCAGGAGCTGATGTAGAGGCCATGGAGGAGTGCTGCTTACTGGCTTGCTTCTCATGGCTTGCTCAGCCTGTTTTCTTAGAGAACCCAAGACCTCCAGCCCAGGGAGAGCCCCACTCACAATGGGCTGGTCTCTCCCCCATCAATCACTCACTAAGAAAATGCCTAGAGGCTTGCCTTCAGCCCCATCTTATGGAAGTATTTACTTGAGATGACTCTAGCTGGTGTCAAGTTGATATAAAACTACCCAGCACACCCATTGAGCCATCTCAAGAGCCCTGTCTTGTGTTTGCTTTGTTTGCGGTTCTGTTTGTTTTGTTTACTTGTTTTTGTTTATTCCTCTTATTTCTTTAGAATTAATACCACTGCTTAACTAAGGGAGTAATTTTATTACTGTTTTAGAAGTGAAGATGGAAAATCTATTTAGAATATATTTTGAGAAGTTTAACATATACATTATAGTTAACATGGGAGTCTAATTCAAAATAAGGAATATTCTGAAACTATAAATCTTTTTTTCTTTTTTTTTAGTTTTTCGAGAAACTATAAATCTTTGAGATTATAAGCATACCCTATTTAATTAAATTTGTGATAATTAACAAAATAAAGAAATGTTCTTAAACACTCATTTAAAAACAAAATCTCTGAGTAAGGAACTGGAGAGATGGCTTGGTTGGTGAAGTACTTGTTTATATAAAGTGGGGGGTGGGGGAGGAGGAGGTAACTGCCTGTAATCCTAGCCATGGTGACATAGTGGATGGGGATAGCCAAACCCTGGGAGCTTGTGGACCCGCTAGCTTGATTTACACTGTGAACTTCCAGGCCTGTGAGAGACAGACTTCAAACAAGCAAAAGTGGAAGGTACTTGAGGACCAACACTCAGAGTTGGCCTCCGACTTTTCATGTGTGTGTACCTGCGCATGCGCGCGCGCACACACACACACACACACACACACACACACACACACACCATACCATCCCCCATTCAACCTCTCTCCAAAATAATTCTCAGTAAATCTTTCTGAGAGTATTCCTCTATTTCTAGAATATTCTACTTTAAATTCCCTCATAGCTCTTTGAGAGTGTTAATTTAACTACCATTTTTAGAATTTTGTATTTAAGGAAAGCTAAATAAAAATCAGTTCTTATTTTTAGTAACTTTGTGTATTGCAGTTGCAGAGATCATGCACCAAACTTTTAAAAATATAACTTGATAAAACAAAAGATTCTGATGTGTATTTACTTCTTTTGTTATGTAAAATATATGTATATATAGAGAGAATTTTTAACAAAGTATTATATAAGTACAAAGAGATTGTATCATGTATATATAGTTGCATGGATTTTAGAAGCTCAGGTCGCTCATCTCCCTGTACCCATCTTGAGAACAGAGTTTCATCACATGTTAGGAGCTGCTCCAGTGCTCTTGTCAGGAGTGCTCTTCCTCATCATTTGAGTCAGAGCTTTTGGATTTGCCTGCTTTTGTTCTTTATACACATGGTAGTTGGAAGTATATATTCCTTGGCTCTAGTGCCTTTCACTTAGCACCGTGTTTATGCGGTTCGTCCGTGTTGTTACATGTAGGTGAGACCTACTTACTCTTATTTATTCTATCACACAAACATTCCCTGGTTCATCTTTCCATCAAGTTTTGATTTACTTTTGGGAGGCTTCCTATCTGACTTACTTTTGGGGAGCTACTATGTTTGTTGTGGAACCTTATATGACTTATATATACAGATATATTTCTGTGACACATATGCCTAAGAAGACTTGGTGTTAGTAGTATACATATCAAATGCATAATTTCCAGAGGTGCTACCAGGTTTTAAAGTAGTTGTGCCATTCCCATTCCTCACCGGCATGTAGCAGTTCTGGTTCAGTCTCTGCAGGTACTTGCTCAGCCTCCATGCTATCCACTTGTCATTAGCTGTTTTGATGGCTATGTGTCACAAAATGGTTTACTTTGTACTTCTCACATGATTAATGAAGTTGGCCTCTCAGTACATTTTTTTTTTTATCAAGTGCTTTGTTGTATTTGCAAATCTTTTCACTTTCAATTTTATAGAAACAAAATGTTTCAATCTTTCACAAATATGTTTGATAAAAGTCAGTTAATAAAAATAGAAATAAAATCAACAATGAGAATTAAGCAGCAAAGAAAACCCAGGCTAAGAAGATAGTAGCACAATGGACTCCTCATCTTTATAGGCAAGCCCAGTGTTAGAATGGAAATATAGAACAACTTTGTAGAGGCTTTTAAGAGAGGTGTTTGAGACAAGGGCACAGAGTAAAGTGCAGGTAGTGGTGCTCGTAGGAATAGATAAGAGTCCTATCAGTTAACATACAGAGAAGGAGAATGCTGCGGAAAGAGCAATGCACTTAGCTCAAAAAAAGATTACTTTGTCACGATGTATAGTGCAGTTCTCTGTTAAAAATCAGGCAGGATATCAACCTTCACGAAGGAAAATACAAAACACTTGTAAATAGAAGAGACAGAGTCACATCCATTTGACTCAGAGAATGTTCTCATTCTGTGTTAGCAAGGCTGGCATAATTGAGTGGGGATGCCGCAGGTGCACATAATATCACAGGCATTTGCTGTAATCAACACAGTTCAGACTAAGAATGAGGCTGCAGTTCAAGCAACCTAGCATGACTTCCCTTGCTATGGAAGGAATAAATAAAAACAATCACAACTTAACAGGAAAGGGAAGAAACAGTATAAGCACAAGTTGTAGAAAAATTGTTTCAGATTGCTTCCAGAACATGTGAAAAATGTCCAATACAATGAATACTGTTGAATATACAGCATCTTGGCAAAGGGGGTAGGCTTTAGTTTAATTTTCACATCTGTCAACTGGATAAAAGTAGATACCAGCTGTATAATCAGGCAACATTTATAATGATAAAAAATAATCCTTAACATGATGAATTTTATCCATGTTAAGATGGACAGTATATAAGCTTAAGATGGCAGCTGAGAAGCTATACCTTTGGGTCTCCTGAGACAAGGGACTCCTGTAATGGGGCATGCCCCTCAAAAGGCCCCTGTAAGGTTTGTGCCTGTAAAGTGTATTTTGCTGAACTGCTACTATGGCCCATGGATTTCAAAACCAAGATGAGCTGCATACATGCCCATGTGAATCTCTACCCTGTGTGTGGCTAGCCAAAGGGGTACTTTAGAGACTGCCACCAGGCTTTTGCCTTTGAGTTCTATACTTGTACTTCCCCACTGAGTACCTATGCCTTCCGTTCATGACAGAATCCCATTGTGGCCCATAGTCATCCAGTTGAATGGTTAGCTGAACTGAAGAAGACCTAAGAATGGTTGATAGCAATGAAAGCTGTGCTGGTACTGTAGAGATGAATCACATGATGACCAAGGAGTTCCCCTCCAGGGAATTTATTCTGTTTATATGGCCATGTATACTGTAGGCAATTGGTACAGGGATAGTTATTGTGACATTGCTGGTAAAGTAAATGATTTAAAAACCTGCATTTTCATCAGTTAGGAAAGCACCAACAGCGTACCCATGCAGTGAATACCAAACAATGGAAATAAAATCTTTAAAGAGAAAATGAAAGGGTTTTATCCACATATTCTTAATATATTAGCTTAAAATAGCCAATAGTCAGGATAATTGGCTTATGCCATTTTCACTTACAATAACCTGTGAGGAGCCATTTAGGCAAGACTAAGGCTATCAGGTGGCTTCTTAGAGGTGGCCCACTATCTTGCATGGCTTACAATGGGTGAGCTCTGAAAGGCAAGGTCCCAAGAGACTTCATCTCAGGATTGCTTCCTACAGCTGATATGCCTTTCCTGTCATTGTTACATAGCCTGAGAGTTTGTGGGCCTTAATCCACCCTATTGAGCAGATTTCTTACAGATCAACATAAAGATGAACTTTCATGAATTAATGTTGTTTAGGTGAATTAATTATTTCATAGAATTCCTGATTTGAGTCAGATAATTTTAGAAAGAAAGCTTTAAGATGGTTTTAGTTGTTTTGCTATAAAGATGTAATAAAGTTAGAATCAAGAATAGAATGTGCCCACTCCTCATAAATAGTAAAGGCTGCATAATAAGAAATACAATGAGCTTTCATAATTACACTAAAAAGAGATTTAGGCTTGGAATAAATTTGTGTTCAGGGAAAAACATCAGTTCCAAGGATGAAGCCACAGATGTGCACTGTGATAAGTCAAGGCCGTGTAAAAACTGTTGCTTTGAACTTATAATGAGCTTAAGGGTGAACTATTGCTTTGAACTTGTTATTGATGCCTTTCTTTAACTGCCCTTGTAGGTACCATTTTATCTCTGAAGTAATTCTTACATGGAGAACTTTTTGTCTAAAGGCTGTAAAAAGGCTGAAAGCAATAAAGAAAAAAGATGTAGCCATTTTCCACTTCAAGCTGGTCCAAGTGACTTCCTTCCTTTCCTTCTTTTCTCTCTGGTTCAAAAAGAGATAACAAACGCCAAGCCTCTCTCCTGGCCAGTGAGGGGCTCCTGGCTGACAGAGAAGGAGCTCTAACAATAAATCCTTTTACTTAATTCCCCACTGCTAAACAGCATGTGTTAATTCACTAGAACTTAGTAATTATTTAACACAAATAATGAGTTAAAGAGTTAAGTTCTCAGTGCTTATTAAAGCACAGGATTGTAATAAAGAGTTAAGTTTTTAGAGTTTATTTAGGCACAGAACACTAACAAAGAGCTAAGTTTTCCCAGTGCTTATTCAAGCACAAAAAGTTAAGTTTCCCCAGTGCTTATAAAGCACAGAGAGTTAAAGAGAAAAGAAGCCAGCAGTTTTCAGCCACAGAATAAGCAAGAGAGTGTTTAGTTTCCAGAAGCTATCAGCTTTAGCCCCCAATACAGTGAAATATGGCTGTCATGGCATTTGTATTGCAGATGTAGCTTCTACTCTGTAATGTCATGGTTTTGGTATTTTAGCGTATATATTCCATGGATTATAGACTTAATGATAAACAATACTTTGGGGGATATGTGAGAGATTACCTTTTTAACCATTTAATATTTTTTATGAAACTCTTTGGTAATTTGGGGAAACCCTCGATGTGCATCATTTTTGTCTATTAATTGCTGATGTCTTTGTGATTTAAATTGTAGATTGCCCTCTTGGACTCCCCTACAGCTTTAAGTATGGAGGAAAAACTTCACCAGAATGAAGCAAGAGTAAGTGATGGCTTGAGTTATTATTGTATTTTCATGTCAGCTTTGACATTATTTTTTAAGTCTATGTTTGTTATAACCCGAGACTGTCCGTCCCCGAGTTCTCATCATTGAGTAGAACACTTGTGCTTTTCCACTGGTTGGGACATACTTTCTTCATTATACTGATCTCTAATATCAACCCTGTGGCCACAGTCTGGTTCTTGTGTTTGAGGCAGAATGTCACTGTATAGTGTTGGCTGTACTTGAATTCATGGTGTTTCTGTCTCAGCCTTCAAAATGCTATGTTTACAGGTATGTACCACCACATGTGGCCCATGATAATGCTTCAAGATGAGTAATAGTTAGCTTTTTATGTACTGCATGTTTACATGTTAGTACACAGAACATAAAGGGCACATAATGACTTGCTGCAGTTAAGGTCACATGAGGCCTCCTTACAGAGAGTGGGGCCACAGAACCAGCAGAGCAGGCAGAGACCTAGACAGTTAACATTCACAGTTATCCTCACAACTTAGAGCTAAGTGCTGTTTAGCTTTCTGGAGCCCTTGACTTTGCCATGGGATATTCAGCATTCTGGACTGAAAATTCTCTGAGTCATGGACCTGTTAAGAGGAACAGGAAGGGAACAGAAGTGAGGGACCAGAGCTGAGGGTGCTCTGTCAGAGGGACATGACAGAGGGCTGACTTTGAGGCTTGTATTTTTAAAAACTAGCTTATGGCTGACATGGTTCTATCATTTTTTTTTTTTTAATGCCCTCTGGGAAAAGAGAAAGACAATAAAGCTGTTGAGGAGTTCACATTTTTCCCCCTGGTGCTGAGTGATTAAAAGAGCCATAAAGGAAAACACATGGTCTGAGGGTAAAAACTCAGGAACCACAGTGTGAGAGATTCATGTTGAGCTGTAGTTAGGAACTTGTTCATACTTGGTAGGGTAATTGTTTTGGTTAATATCTAATAACAGTGTCAGTGAAGATGTCCATTTCTTAATTTGTATTTTTTCATGAAAGTTTATATTTTACCCCTTCAAATCCTAAGTACGATGGAATATCTGGGTGTGGTTGTTTATCACTTATAGGTTTCAGGAATGCTCTGCAAGTTAATAGAAAGCAATAAACATATTAATTGGAGTGCGCTCTTCATGCTGTGTTGGAAATAGTTGCCCATCTTAATCATAATGTTCTCTAAGTGCTTGCCTAGCTTTTACTGACCTTTCTAATTGCTTGCCACCTGGTTTATTATTCAGTCCCATTGACAGAGATGGAACACATATATGGATTTTGTTAATGCTTTTAATAAAGACTGTCTGATTTAAACACAGTGATAACTCCAAGGCATACGTAGAACTTTGTAAAAGCTCAGAGTGTTTGATTATATTTGAAATGGATGGACTTTTACCTTTTTTTATTGAAAAAATATTTTCACACAAGATAATCTGATCATGCTTTCTCAAGCCAGTTCCTCCGTACGTCTCCTCTCCCTCCACACAACTTCACACGCTTTTTTGCTTTAGAAAACAAGCAGGCTGAAACCAAACCAAACCAACTAGCCAATCAAACAAAAATTCCAAACACAAACACACACACACACACGCTCTCACACACACACTCAATATCACCCACTTAGCCCTGGGGCCCCATCTTTGATATAGACATCCCATTTACAACTAAGCATTCCAGAATTTCTCACTTTGCACCTGTCCTGATGTGGGTCTCTTTGCTATTGATTGGTTCATCTTTCTTCAAGAAGGACATATATGGTGGTCCAAGGAATAATGTTTTTCTCTTTTATTCATGTGTCTACTCATTTGTTAGTATAGATAAGAAAATTGAGTATTGTTACTCTTTTCTTGAGTCTTCAAAGAGAAAAGATATAAGAATATCCTTTTCTGAAAGTTTTTTTTTTTAAACAAAATGCCCCAGTGGTCATGTGGCTCACTGCTGTTCTTTGAAGGATCCATGGGTATGAATGTTTCTACAGCCTTATCAAAGCACTGGAGATAGGCAGGAAATGATATGGATGGGGGCGAGTGTCTCTTCACTCCTGTAGGTTTTGTTCACAAAGAAGACAGATTTTGACACATATAACAATAACTAGTGAAAGGAAGAACACCTATAAAGTTTATTTGGACCATCATAGTTATTTGTGGTAAGCGAATGGCCGCTGCCTGTCAGTCAGGTAGGTTTGTTTCCCCCGGTGACAACACAGATCCCCATTTCCTTGCCAGCATCACACAGTGTTTAGTAGGGATTGCTGTGCTTCAGTGAGCATGGAGAGAGTGCCTTTCCCTTAGGAGGGTAGAGCAGGCTCTTCACATGAGGGGTTTTGGGTGGTGAGAGCAGGGGCTTAGGGGAGGTGGTTTCTGCTGTGGATTGGGTGACAGAAGGTGAACCCTGAGAGGCCAGCTGTCCTTGTCCTGTAGCCACTCCTTTAGATCCATCTGTGTCTTCTGTTCCACACTGCATATTTTCCATTCCAGTTTTTTCTGACCTCTTGATTCAGGTATTACTTTTTTGCTTCTCAGTGAATTAATCATGAGGATCATCTAAAACATTTTCTGTAACTAGATGAAAACTTGATTACTTTGAGAAACACTCACCAACTATGTTGAGCTCAACTATGGGGCCCTTTCCTTCCCTGAGTTACAGCCCACTGAAAAGGAACTGATCTCTATCAATAGAATTTTGCTGTGTCTGAAAGAATCAAGTAAAGAAGCATCTTTTTTCCCCTTTACCCAAAGGTAGAATGAGATTTATAAACTCCATTAATTAGTTACAAAAGCAAATTATCTCCTAAAAGAAAACTGCAGTATCCAAGGTGATTTAATCACCACATCCAATTAGAAAAGCTTATTTCTTAAAGTACAGCCAGGGAAAAATAAACACACTTAATGTGTTACTGTCATCCTTGGAGTTGTGATTAATAATCCAAAAAAGTCACTTTTCTAAGTTTACCTGTGTGTGTGTGTGTGTGTATGTACGTAATGTACGTATGTAAGGATGTGTGTATATATATATATACACACACACATATACATGCTCATAGGTACACACACACACTTAGTTCATCTTTGCATAGTGTGTATACATTTAGAAGCTTTCAAGATAAACATTATGTTAATTTTTAATAAAATCATTATATATTTATGTTTTTGTTCCTAGGTCCAAGAATTGACCAAGGAATGGACAAACAAGTGGAATGAAACCCAGAATATATTGAAAGTAAGGGCTGTGAAAGTGTCTTAGTGTTGCTGTGCCACTGTGCCAGCTTATGTGGGTACCTCCCTCTCTCATCTGAAATATGGTTGTTTGGGTTTTGCTTGAAGTAAGATCGATGAAGCAGATTGGGACCTGTGGCAGGAGGCCTTGAGGTTAGTTTTGAGGTTGTGGGTGATGGTGATTACACATCACAGCTGGGAGCTGGGACATTCACAGGTTACTGTGATTTTCTAGGCATACCCTTTTACTTGTTGGAGTTCCTCCATTTTTGGCTCAGTACATTTAAAATCCTATTATTCAAAGAAAATACAGTTTGTTTCTAATTTTGTTAAAGTCAACATAAAAGCAATATATTAAGAACAAAGTGAATTTATGACATCTTTATAGAATACACTTGCATAGCATGATTAGATTACAGGAATTTCTAGACTCCTGCTCTCCTGTGCAATTTCTCCATGTCTCAGTGGCTAGATGATGGTTATATGCATTTCTGCCAACTGTGAAAGGATGTCTGTAATTTTGGTCTCCATTTTTCATGCTCTGTGCTACAAAATGGGAATTTCTTTGTTTCTATTTTGGCTCACTTAAACGGTTAAAAGACTACTGCACAGGGTTTGGGCTTGAGTTTGAACTTTGCACTTCTATGCATGTGGTTGCTTGTCTAAAAAAAGGCCACTCAGAGGCTGTTGATGCTGAGGTTTGCTTCTGAGGTCTAGTGAAGTGCTCTAAGGATAAAAACAAAGCTCCGTGTAATGTTGGCTGGCTGAGCTCGACAGGGCCTCAGCTGTATGTAGCCATAGTACATGAAGTTGGGTGTTCTCTGTGTGAAGTACGTGGCTGCTGACCAGTCTGTGGGGGCAGACTTAAAGGCCTGGATTAGCCACTGAGCCTCATCTGACAACAGACTCAGAGCCAGGGTCAGCAGTGTACTTTATTTACTTGTATTTGTGTGGCAAGGTGGCCTGTGTCACTCCAGGCTTATGAAGGCTTGTGGAGGTGGAGGTGGTGCTCAGCTTCTATTCAGGTGGGAGTGGGTTCATGCTCTTGGGGATTTGTTTGCAGGAGCACAAATGACAATGTTAAGTGAGGGCTTTAGTATTCAGGTCTCCTGTTCCTAAGGAGAAAGGCATGTTGTTTTGAGGTGTCCTGCTTCAACACTGTTTCCCTTGTTCAGAATTGATTTATCCGCTTATTATTTTAGTAGTGCTCTGGTTTAAACCCAGAGTTTTAGACATGCAAAGCAAGTGCTCTTCCACTGAGCTACACTGCAGCCTGCCTTTGTTGAGAGATGGTGGTGCATGAAGCTGAACAGAGACTTCCTTCACCTCTCAGGAGGGTTGTGGTAGAGTAAGCACTGTCTGGGAGGTAAAGGGCTTTGTTCCTGAAGGTGAAACCACTCTGAGTAGTACAGTAGCAGCCTTTAAAGCTCAGGTCTTTCGACCTTTCATGACAAGGTGTAACTTCCCTCAAGAAATTTGCAAAGATGCAGAATTAAGTGTTCCCTATTTAAAGAGCAATAATAAACTCTTTGAAAATTATTAGCAGGAGTCGTATGTTGTAGGACCCAGAGGTACAGCAGCAATAAGTTGTAAGCCTCAAACTCCCATTTCCTCCTCCTGCTACTGCTGCAGCATCCTTCCCCTGTACTTTGAGTGTAAAGTTGGCTTGGAGTGATGCTCCTACACTGAAACTAGTTTTATGCTGGATTTTCTGACTTTTCTGCAAAATCACAACAGTGAAACCTCTGGAATTTTCCAGGTAGTTTCTTCCCTTTCTTAAAATGCTTCTGGACTTTGACACTAAATCCTTTTCTGATTCAAATCCCAGTTCACAGTCATCTCATTACCTTTACTTCTCAAGACTTTTCAGACAAGGAGAATGTGTGCTGTTAAAGGTTATGAGAATAGCAGGGACAGTGTCCTGTTCTCCCCTTCTTGTCTGGATGCTAGGTCTGTGCTCATCTTTGGTCTCACTGGGTGCTTTAAGGTTCTCTCCATGCCCTTTTGAAATACACTGCCTGTGGCTGGGATAGAGTGCTACTCAAATGCTTATTTTGAAAATCCTTCATGGCAATTATTTACTGTTCCTCAGATATATATCTATGCGCTTTCTAAACCCTTTCCTGTATTTCTTTCTTTTTTAATTAATTATTTATTTACATTGTGGACATTGCCCTGCTACTAGTCTCCCTTCCACACAGTTCCTCATCCCATCCCCCTCCCCTTTGCCTCTGAGAGGGTGCTTCCCCTTCCCCAGGCATCCCCTTTTCTTACGGCCTTAAGTCTCTACAGGATTAGGTGTGTCTTCTGCCACTGATGCCAGACAAAGGAGTCCTCTGCTACGCATGTGCTGGGGCCTTGGACTGTAGTGTGTTCCATTAAGTTGATCACTTGTGCGTGAAACTAGTCTTGCATACAGTGTTGCATGCTTCCCTTCCTGTCCAGATGTGAGACTCCAGGTTAATTTTCAACAGACACCATGTTTTCAGTAAGACAGGGTTCTTTCCTTGAATCTAGACATTATCATTTAACGTCAGTGCGGGGTGAAGGGTGAAGGGTGAAGGTCCCTTGAATATTGAGTTTCTCTGCATCTCACCACATTCTGAACTCTCGAGTGCTCAGAAGCAAGGAACAACTTGGTTCCCTTCTGTCTACACTCAGCCTGTGACTTCCCTTGTTTAGGAATAGTGAAATTCGAGGTCTGGGTGTCTGGCATCAGGACACTGGCAGACCCTTGGGCACATGCATGCTGATCAAAGGTGCTGACTTGGTTTTAGCAGCCCTGGTAGCAGCATGGCCACCATGGCTGGAGCCCTGGCTTTGGTTTGTGTAACTCAGAACTTGAGTCTCAGGTTTCAGTTTCCTTCCCCTTACTGGGTTGTGACACTTACTTTCATATGTCCTAGTTGCCAGCTTTGCAGCTGTGCTTGATGCCAACTGATCCCCTGGGCCCAAGGTCGTGATGCCAACTGATCTCCTGGGCCCAAGGTCGCAGGATAAGAGATGATAACATGCTACCTTCACTTTGAAAATAATTCATTGGAAAGTTTGTGTTTGTCTTTTTAGAACAGGGCTGGAGAGATAGTTCAGAGATTAAGAGCACTGGCTGCTCTTCCAGAGGTCCTGAGTTCAATTCCCAGCAACCACATGATGGCTCACAGCCATCTGTAATGGGATCTGATGCCTTCTTCTGGTGTGTCTGAAGACAGTGACAATGTACTCATACAATAAATAAATGAATAACAATAATAAAGAAACAAAAATAAAACAGTGGTTCTCAAATTTCCTAGCTCTGTGACCCTTTAATGCCGTTCCTCATGTTGTGGGAACCCCCCAACCATAAAATTAATTCATTGTTACTTCATAATTGTAATTTTGCTACTGTTATGAATTGTAAGTATATAATATACAGGATATCTGATATGTGACTCCTATAGGTGTTGTGACACACGGGTTAAAAACCTACTCTAGGTACATCATAGGCAGACGGTATGTGGCAGTGCTGTGACTGTCCTCAGTGTCCCCTTTCTTGCTCCCTAATCTACCTTTTTGTTTTCATTATTCCTCATTTTCTAACAGATTTTGTCCCAAATGACTTGAGACCTCTGTTCAATTTCACCTGTCATATAGTGAGTCTGCCCCACTACCCCTAGCATATCTACCCTCCCTGCTGGATGACATGCTGGTCCCAAGTGCCACAAGGAATCTGTTTTCATGGTGACTCCTAGCCTTGGCTGGGGTTGCCCCATCATTAGGATAATTCTCTTTCTTAGTCACCCTGTCAGAATCCATCTGACATCCTCTTCCTCACCCCTACCTTTTTAGTTAGGATGGATTTCATTTTCCTCTGTGCTTTGCAGCATTTGGTTTTATATTTGGTACAGTTGTCATGACTATCTGTGTTAGCCTGTGTCTCTGTCTCTTTTTTTCTACCTCCGTCTCTGTGCTGACTGACACATGGGCAGTTAAGAGCTGGAGCTGGCGGAAGACTGTATCTGGTCGTCATTCTGTAAGCCAGCTACTGCAGCTCTGCTTCTCACAGAGCAGTGAGCATGAAAGCTTATGGGATTAAGTTAGCAGTAAGAAACAAAATGAAGCCCATTGTGTTAATCTGCCACCAGTGCCATAACTAAACTCCATGAACTGGATGTTTTAACTATCAGATTCTTCTGTCTCCCACAGTCCTGGAACTTGGAGCTCCAGGATGGAGATCTGTCAGCGTTGGCTTTTCTCCTTGGCACAGGGACAGTACCCCTGCTGTGTCCTCAGAGGACCTTTCCTTTGGTGCCTGTGTTACTGGTTATTCTCTGTTTTTCTTATGATGACAATAGTCACACAGGGTCAAGATCTACCTTAGTGACTACACTTTAATAACCTCAGCTAATTAATTTTAACTTAATTAAATGTCCTGTCTGTAGATAGTCATATCCTGAGGAACTAGGACCTACAGCCTCAGACATGAACACTGGGGCCACACACTTTATCTCGTTATAGCCTTGATCAATACAAATGTGAGGATCTGGAAAGAAGCATCACCTCCTGCTATGCGGGCCTCAGTCCCCTGTGCTTTCCACGGCACCTTTCTCCTATTCGAAAGCTTCATGGATGTAGTTTTGTTTTGTGGAGGAGCGTGGCTGGATTCTCTATATCATAGCCCTCCTGTAGCTCGGATCAGTTAGAACCTGGCCTGTTTCAAGTGTGGCAGCATTTGTGAGATGGTCAGGAAACCACTACATGTATCCTGCTTTTAGAATCTGCATCTTAATCAGATGCCCAGGAGAGTGTTTGTACCTTTATGTTTCAGTGCTGCTCTAGATCTGCCATGCTGGGGAAAGGTGGAAACATCCTGGATTCTTTGCCCTTGGTTCCATTCTGCTCCGTCCTGTACTATGGGGGGCTGACCTCCGCAGAATGCCCCTTTCCAGGCTCCTTTGATCCAGTGGGAGATTAAAAGCATCTCTAGTGGCAGATGCCTTTTTGCTATGACCATCCCAGGTCCCGCCA